CCTCAGAACTTCTGAGGAAGGGTCACCGGACCCAAAATGTTAACTCTTTTTTTATTTCACAGATGCTGCCAGACCTGCTGAGCTTTTCCAGCAACTTCGTTTTTGTTCCTGATTTACAGCATCTGCAGTTCTTTTGGTTTCTCCTACTCCTCAAGGATGTGCAGGAGCAGAGGGGCACAGGTGTACATAAGGGAGTAGAATACAAGGCCGAGGGAGTTATGCTGAATTTGTATAAGACACTAGTTAGACTTGGTTGGATAATTATGTACTTTTCTGGGTACCATGCTTAGGAAGGATGCGAGTGCATTAGAGAAAGTGCAGAAGAGGTTTACAAGAATGATTCCAGAATGAAAAACATTAGGAAGACAGATTGGAGAAGGTAGGACTGTTTTCCTTGGAGCAGGGAAGGCTCAGTGATTTGATAAAGTTTTCAAAATCATGAGGCATCTGAAAACCCGTTCCCACCTGTTTGAGAATAAGATGGCACAGATTTAAAGTAATATGCAGAAGAAGCAAAAAGAAGTACAGAATAGAAACAGGCCACTTTGGCCCAGCTGATCTTTGCTGGTATTTCTGTTCCACCGCAATCTCCTCCAACCCTATTTCATTATACAGTAACAGCTAACCTTCGGTTCCTTTTTCTCTTACATGCTTGTCTAGCTTCTCCTTAAATTCATTTGTGCTATTTGACTCAACACTTTGTAACAAATTTCATATTCTTGCCACTCTTTGGTTAAAACAATTTTCTGAATTCCCTATTAGAATTATTGGTGGCTATGCTATATTTGTAATCTTGATTTTTTTTGAATGGCTAACAAGTGAAATCATTTTCTGTACAATTACCCCACCAATTCACCTCTCATTCTGACAGGTTTTTTTGTTTGGAGAAAAAAGTCCCAGCCTCTTCACTGTTCCTAATAAGCATGTCCCAGTCCTCAAACATGTTGTCAACTCCCTAACATATACCACCTTTCCTGAAATTTCAGAATTTCAAATTCCCCTTCATTCAGCTCTCTGTCCCTGCTCTTTATCAAAACTGTTCTTAACAAAATTACAAATGTTATCCTTTGTGACTAAAATGAAAGTAGACTATTCCTCCTCCCCCTTCAATACCTCTTTGCAACCTTTGACACATTTGACAACACCATCCTCCTCCAATGTCTCTTCACCATCATCCAGCTGAATGGAACTGCATTCACTTGGTTCCTATCCATCTAATTGTAGTAAATGGCTTCTCTCATGAGCTTTGCGTGTAAATATTTAATTGGTTACACGGGTATCTTTTCTGGTGGCTGTTACTAGTTTAAGCAGGAAAAAATAATTTAAAGAGTTCTAGTGATTTTGGTGATGGGAACATCGCTCAGTTGTGTGTGATAGTACATCTAGGTATTAAAAAAAAATCCTTCTCTTGAGTTCTTGTGCCGCAGTGGTAGCGTCCCAGCCTCTGAGCTGGGTCATCTGGGTTCAAGCTCCAGCTGCTCCAGAGATGTGTCATAGCACCTCTGAAAAAGTTGATTAGAAAATAGATATGCCTTTTAAAAAGGGCTTCTCTTAAGGGGCTTTGTGGTGCAGCCGTGATGTTCTTACCTCTGAGCCAGGGAGCCTAAGTTCAAGTCCCATCTGCTCCAGAGGTATTAGTATCTCTGAACAGATTGATTAGAAAATATCCAAACGGCTTCTCTTTGCATTCCCACATTATCATCACAACAAGGACAGTTCAGACACTTATATGGCAAGTAATTCACCTCTTGACTCCATGAAGTATGCTACCATCTACAAAGCACAAGTCAACAGTATGATGGAATACTGTCTACCGTCAATACCATGGGCTGTTACACCAGCACACAATGGAAATGTGTATACTGTACTTTTTAATAGGAATTACTAACATAGTTCCATAGATATACAATAAACTATCAGTTGTTATTTGTACCAGAAAGTGGGAAAATGATTGATCCAGGTATCACAGAATCAGAGAACCTAATTCGTTGCTGCTGATTAGACAAAGAAGAAATCACTTCATGATGCTAGAAAAAAAACAAAAAGCAAATTACTGCATTTATCAATGAGTGAAAATCAAAATAATCCACCCAAAGGTTTGTGGAACAATGAAACACGGTTGTTCTAAATGTAAATATTAACACTTTTTAAATTCATTATCATACTAGTGCAAAGTAATTTGAAGCATTTGTACAAAAATATGGTTAGTTAATGCAAAAAAACTGAACTAAAAGTCTGCGATTAAGACTGCCAATAATACCTGACGTACCTAAATTAACTGCAGAAGTCCATCAAATGCTGCAAGGTAGTTATGAAAAGCATGAACCTTTATGATAGCAAAAAACGAGTTTATCCTCCAATCTAATTGAAGGTAATCCAAAATCAAAGAAAATCTGAAATCCAGCATGATCTTGGTCCCGAGGGTGCTACATTTCAGACATCAGATCTGTCAGGACAGTGTGTGACCTGGAGGAAGACTTTGCAAGTGGTGTAATTCCCATGTATCTGCTGCTCTTTTTCCTTGACCCTTGAGGCAGTCGAGGTCACAGGTTTGACAGATCTGACTGAAGGAATCTTTGCAGATTGCAGCAGTCCACCTTGTAGAGGGTACTGCCACTGCACTGTGCTGTTGAGGGATTGAATATTTAAAATCGGTGGTCAGTATGAGTCGAATGGGTTACTTGTTTTGGATTACGTCAAACTAAAGAGTGTCATTGGAGCTACACAAGACTGAAATGCAGTATGGAGTTGCAACCGTGATAAACCTAAACTAAATGCTGAAAATGTCACTGTTGACATATTTACATCACTTTACTCATGATTTAGAGCAGACTGATGATTGGGTGGCAATTCAGTGGACTTGATTTAACCTGGTTTCTGTTGACAGGAGATACCTGGGCAGTTTTGTACTTGTGATTGAACAGCTTGGCTAGGAGCATGTCTAGTTCTGGAATACAAATTTTCAGTACTAAAATTGACATTCTCAGGGTCCATAGATTTATTTACAAATAAAATAAAGCAAAGACAAATCAGGCTTAATAAAGTGGTCTAATTCTTAATATTTTTCTCTTTCTTTAAATTCAGAGTAGCACAGTAACTGATGTAACATGATTGTTATTGGCATAGGTCAGATTGAACAATGCAAACATGATACATGTTTATAATGTACATTAAGACAGATAGGGTTGTCTCAGGGCTTCAGGCCGCTAATGGACATCATGAAAATAAAATGCATTGCTAAAAAAAACCCCGTAAAGACTTAGCCAACAATACAAAATATCCTTTAAAAATTTTAACTTGAGGTTTCCGTACAGAAAGATTTTCAATCCCACTTCTACAGTAGATGTTTGATAGGCAGACTTGCACCACTTGTTTAATGTCACAGTCTTATTTATTAGAGGTGGGTGATTGTACCCTCCACATGGACACCACTGCTGTAAGTGAAGTGAGGGCTCACCAGCTACCAAGGTCCAAAGGTGCGCCTGGGCCCAGCCACGGAGCCTGGCACCTCCTGTGACAGCAGAGTGTAAAACCCACCCTTCGCCTCATTCCATTAGCTGTGCTGTGGGAATTCAAGTGCTTGGAGCTAGGTTTCGGTGGATGATGATGTGTTGGGAGGGCTGACAGTGACCATATACCCAAGCCCACCCGCACCTGAAATGAGCTGCTGACGATAACGGCGCCGCCCGTCGCCATGACACGCCTTCGGTTGTGACGTCACCCGAGCCGGGCGTAAAATGGCCAGAATACCATTTTTCTTGGAGATTATTAGAATTGTAATCCGCAGGCCGTTCACTCATGCTCTCTGTAAAGAGCAAAAACCTCTGCCTCGCTGATAACGATCATCGCAAAAAAAATGGACAACTTAGTCATAGATGACGTGTTCCCCGTTTGAGCGCTTAATCCTGCACGGTTTGCTCCTCTACTCCTCAAAAACAATGCCGGGCAATCTCGACAAATGAATAATGGGCCGACCAGCAAAAAAAAACACCCCAACAAAACAATAAGCGAAAAAGGAAACTTCAATACAGAGATGCGTAGACAAGGCATGACCATGTCCCGTAGGTACTCGCTCACGAATAACTTTGTAAGAGGGGGAAATAAAGAAGCGTCAAGTAGGCTGAAGCTTCAAAATCTCCCCTGCCCCTACCGCATCCCAAAACCAGTCCAGCCCTGCCTCCCTAACCTGTTCTTCCTCACACCTATCCCCTCCTCCCACCTCAAGCCCCATCCCCATCTCCTACCTACTAACCTCATCCCGCCCCCTTGACCTGTCCGTCCTCCCTGGACTGACCTATCCCCTTCCTAACTCCCCACCTACACTCACCTTTACTGGCTCCATCCCCGCCTCTTCGACCTGTTTGTTTCCTCTCCACCTATCCTCTCCTCTATCCATCTTCTATCCGCCTCCCACTCTCTCCCTATTTATTTCAGAACCCCCTTTTCTGATGAAGGGTTTCGGCCCGAAACGTCAGCCTTTCTGCTCGGCCTGCTGTGTTCATCCAGCCCTACACCTTGTTGTCTCGGATTCTCCAGCATCTGCAGTTCCTGCTGTCTCTGAGGAGCTAAGAAGATTGTTTTGGATCAGAGATACTAGGAACTGCAGATGCTGGAGATTCCGAGACAACAAGGTGCAGGGCTGGATGAACACAGCAGGCCG